AAAATACTTAGGCTAGAATAAATCCCAAACATTTAACTCTGCAAATAAGTGAAGATTTTACTCACAGGGTTTCAGGAGTTACAGCAAGCACGTTAAAACTTGTTATGATTTGCATCTGCCCTCATCCACCTCTAAACAAATGTTCCCCACAAAACTACTTAGGCTAGAATAAATCACATTTAACTCTGCAAATAACTGAAGATTTTACTCACAGGGTTTCAGGAGTTACAGCAAGCAAGTCTTCATCGGTTGGCGGTGAAATGAAGAAGAAAGGTTCCAAATGACTTAAAAGAAAGAACTTGGTTTCCTTACAAAAGAATCAGGCAATACAAATCTCTTGTTAAAGAGGTTTTCCATCCACTTGGTTTTTCTTCAGCTGCAATTCTGGCTTCTTTGATGAAGCAAAGCAAAGAGAGAAAAGGGAGGAAGCAAAGGCTGTTGGGAGCCTGCTAAGCTCCACCCACTGGCACATGGAGCTCAGGTTAACCCTTTCATGCACGCAAGTGTGAGTCGGTAACTGTATATTACAACATAATATGGGTTGCTTGGCTCCAGGCCCTTTACAGTGCTACGCCAGGTAAGCCTGGAGAAACTGGCAGCTGGAAGATGGGGGCCAAAAAGGTGGTAGACACTGGGATTGGGCATAGGATTGGTTCTTGTGGGCCCAGCTAAGGTGCATGGCCCCATAGCAAGTACCCCAGTGTTCCAGGTTGTCATTCCCAGAGCATCACTTTGTCTTGGACCAAGGCCTTTTCATCAAGAATGAAGCAAAGGAGGAAATGTTTAAGTCCCTTCCCCCAGGACCTCCTCTGATCCGGATACTTGTCAGTTGTAAACAAGCCCCCCCACCCCGCAAAAAAGATGGTACCATTTGCATTTTTAAGAACAGACATATTCAATGCAACTATGCATTTTACATCATGTCTAGCTTGATGCTTCAAATCCCTTATTTACAGAGAGAGGACGCAGAGTCCCAAAGCCCACCCTCCCTTGAATTGCAGGAAGAAATCCTAATAGTTAGCTGTATTGTATTGATCATACAAAGCAAACAACAACAACAATTCTCTCCCCCTCTCCCATACACACACACACAGCCATCCTCAACTGGAGCGGTTTCATACCTCATTCCTAGAATCCATTTTGTTGCTGGGGAACATCAATTCAATTATCAAGTTAAGTCAATTGCTGGAAAAGCAATTAAAAACCCCCAAAACACTATTAGAACTATTGAAGGGCAAATTATCAGGAAATGATTTAATGGATACTGGTGGTGATTTCGTAATATGATGACTGAAACTTGAGCCCGACGCATGTAACTTTCCAAAAACATTCATTTGATATTCTTTCCAGTGCTGCAGTGCAAAAGAAGCAGCATCTCTCCCCACCCAGACTACCATTTGTAAGCAAATTTTAACAAATAATAGTTTGTCCAACAAAGCAGCCAAGTGATCATATGGATAGCAAATATGATGCTTAGGAAAGAGCTGTTTCCGTCTGCCTTTGGGCACGCAGAGAGAAGAAGTTGGCTACCAAATATAGCTGAAAAAGAACTCCAGGATACTCAAAGTTGAACAATGCAGATTGTCTCTAGACGTGACTAATGGCAGCCAAGCAGTCAGAGAATGGGCAAGGATAAGTATAGAAAGTTTATCATTATTATTTGTTTGATTTCTTATAAGGCCCCCAGGACAGGTTACAGCAATCTGAAGTTCAGTATGAATAGCAGTTTAAAACAAAATGGGATTTTTTAAAATCATAGCAAAATCAGCATGAATTGTCATAGTTTGTTAAGCCACATTTTGTTAAACCATAGTTTAACCACTCGTTCGCAATATAACCATAGTTTACTTTAAACTTCCTGTATAGGGAAGTTTTTAATGTTTGATGTTTTATTGTGTTTTTATATATTTTATATTTTTCTGGAAGCTGCCCAGAGAGGCTGGGGCAACCCCATCGCCCCACATTATTAATTACAAGATTTCATGGCAATGGATGTTCCACGGCTGTGGTGCCACCACTCAAAAGGCCCATCCTCTGGTAACCTCCAATCTGTTCCTTGCTAATGATGGACCAGAGAGCAGAAACTCTAACGCTGATCACAGTGCCTAGGGGTGTTCATCTGGGCACATGTGGTCTTTCAGACAACCTGGTCCTTAGACATTTAAGAGCTCTGAGAATCCTGTCTATAAACCGTTAACTACTAATTCTAAATCCGTCTTGTAATTAACCTAACAGCTGTAAACATCAGCATTTGTTGGAGAAAAGGCTGGGATTCCTTTACTTTCTGGATGATGTTTTAAAATATGGAATTTATGTCTAAAACCTTGGTTCCCACAGGGGGGCAATTTGATTTTTAAGGGGGACAATTCAAGAATGTTTAGACCAAGCCTTTTAAGCTTCCTCCATGTGAATAGGAGTTCACTTTTTGAATAAGAAGAATCACAGGGAAGGAGGGCATCAGGATTTTAGAGATGCTTAGGGGGGCATGGCCAAAAAAAGGTTGGGAACCACTGGTCTAAAACAACAATATGAAACAAATTATATATCTATGTATGACTTGTTGCTCTACTCAATTATTCAGAATTCTGTATGTTTATTGTTTTTGTAGAAAATTAAAAATGTCTCCAGGCCTGATGCACCCATCAAGGTAGCTATTAATGCAAGTTTAGGTCCTATCTGCACTATAAATTTAAACTGTCATACCACTTTAAGCAGTCATGGCTTCTCCATAAGAATCATGGGAATTGTAGTTTGTTAAAGGTGCTGAGAGTTGTTGGGAGACCCTCGTTCCCCTCACAGAGCTACCATTCTCAGAGTGGTTTAACCACCAATACCTCTTTTCAAGGAACTCTGGGATTTCAGCCATGAAGGGAATCGGAGTCTCCTAACAACTCCCAACACCCTTAGCAAACCACACTTCCCAAGGTTCTTTGGGGGAAGCCATGATTTTAAAGTGGCATGATACTGCTTTAAGTACGTAGTGCAGATGGAACTTTAGAAGCAACAAACCATAGCTTTCTTTAGCATGGATTGCCTGAAGGGCATCACATGAATGAATGTCCTTCTCTAGTCTACTGATTTGTGAAATTCCCAATTTCGAGCTATTCTATAAATACTCTTTCATTTCCAGAGGAAGAAGGGGGGGAAACCTCACAGGTTGTAGGGGAAACACTATTTAAAGTCTCTGGGCCTCAGAGACAAAATGAGTTAGAGAATTGTCATGAATTAAATGAGGCATATAAGAGCTGATGCAGCTCTGCAAATTACACAGCTAATAGAAGAAGCCGAACAGAAGAATTGAAAATGCCCAAAAGGAGCTACAGATAAAGGAACCCCACAGCTGCCGTCAGCTTTGCTGATGTAATAATATAATAGACTGATTTCTTTCCTGAAAGAACTTTAGCAGGAGAAAAAATACAATTAAGTTTGCTGGGGAATGTTGCAGATCAAACATATTGCTCTCTCTAGGCAGTAGAAGTCACTACCCTGTCTATATCAATCAACAGGATTTCGCTTCATAATCAGAGAAGCCTGATATTTTTTTACATTTTATTTTAATCAAAGTGGGATGATTACAGACACTGCAATATGATTAAACCATCCAGCCTGCAGTTTAATGGACCTGGAACTGAAATTAGAAGCAGATTCATTGGTATCATTTTGAAGAGGTGGCAGATAATTAAGTGGCTCTTATACTGACTCATGAGAACATTCATTTCACATTAAAGTCTGCATGGGGTGAGAGTTGCCAATGTTAGGATGGAATTTGTATAAACCTGTGATGGATATGAAAATTTGGCTTCTAAAGTTCCATTGAGATAAATGGTTTGCACATGGTGTTCTTCCTCAAAAACTCAGTAGGTGTTCCTCTCAATGAGAAGATATCATTATCATCATCATCATCATCTTATCTGTATGCCACCTTTCCATAGCTGAAACTATGCTCAAGGCGGCTTATAACATGACAAGATTTACATAATTACAAACATAACAAAAGTCATAAACAATAAATAAAACACATCAAAAAGGACACAACCAAATGGAAACAATTTCCACGTAAATCATAAGATCTAAAACTAAAGATACAACAATAATATCAATAACAGTGACAGCTCTCTCAATGTAAACAATACTCCAGCCTAAGAATCTGTTCAACAGCCTCAGCTTTTGTAGCTGGAGTCAGTCCACTCCACTCTCCCAGGCAAGATGGGAAAGGACCAGCAAGGCAGGGTTGCAGGTCTTCCAGGGCTCAAAGCCAAGATGGTCTCATTTAAAACAACACAAATAAACATTTAAAACAATTTAAAAGCAGCTGCAGTCCTTGTAAAGCCTGACAGGCCCCGCCCCGAGCCAGGTAGAAAGAGGCAAGGGCAGGGTCCTTCAGGCCCTCAGCAGGCAGTCCTCCTGATATGTCATGATGTAGCAGTTTGTCAGAAAGACAGCTTACCTGCCACTTTTGATCACCTCTCACAATGCATGGCTACTAGTGTTAGATTGTGGCCTCCTAAACAGTCAGTGTGGTGTAGTGGTTAAGAGCGATAGACTCGTAATCTGGTGAACCGGGTTCGCATCTCCGCTCCTCCACATGCAGCTGCTGGGTGACCTTGGGCTAGTCACACTTCTCTGAAGTCTCTCAGCCCCACTCACCTCACAGAGTGTTTGTTGTGGGGGAGGAAGGGAAAGGAGAATGTTAGCCGCTTTGAGACTCCTTAGGGTAGTAATAAAGTGGGATATCAAATCCAAATCCAAACTCTTCATGGCTTCTGCCACAGAATTCTGGGACCTGTACTTTGTTATTGGTAGGACATTCCCAGTCCTACCTGGAGAGGCCAGGAATTGAACCCAGAACCTTCTGCATGCAAAGCACATGCTCTACCGCTAATTCTCTCTATCACCAATATGTTTGACAGTCATCCCTTAATTGCTCTCATAATTGAATGAGATTTATCATACTTTTAAGTGCACGTACAAATGACACCTACATATTACCATTCTTCCAGGTCTCAGCCTGAACGAATCTTTGCGAAGTCTCGATGTTACAAAGCTGAGAAGCAAAGGCACCAAGAATTAGAGTAAGTAAGCACCAGAACTTGCTCAGATGCCCACCTCCAACATGCGAGAATTTGTTTGAATGATTGTATATGTGTAAGATTGGATTTGCTCAGTGCTTTTTTTCCTGAAGGTATTCAAGGGTACACAATCCTGGCACCATTTTTCTAGGAAAAAAGCACTGGTTAAAAATGTAACACTTACAGTAACGATTTAATGGTAAGTACCGGCTCCTTTTTTCTAGAAGAAAAGCACTGAGTTTACTGTATTAAATTAGAAAGGAAAATGGAAGTGTAGGTGGGCTCCCTCAAGGCAAGACACAGTGATAACAGCAAGAACCTTTATTGAACTAACAGAACAGGACAACAGGGTCAAAGCAACTGCTTATATACATTTCTGAAGGCTTGGGCCACTCCCACTCCCAACGTGATTGGCTGTCTAAACTTCCAAACTGCGAATCATAACTCAGACAGAGTTCAAGGGGCCAATGGCAGAGGCCCAAATCCTGAAATGTTCTGTGATTGGATATCGTGTATCGAATCAGAACACAGGGGCTCAGAATCCTTGGTCCAGACTCAAGCTCAGGCAAACACAGACCACTGAATACGTAACAAAAATGACACTTTTTCTGTAGTCACCAGTTTGGGGTCAGGAAATCTCCACAGACTGGCAGGCCTGTGCGGATCTTCTTTGAAGGTGTTTTGTTAGAATAAAGTTACAAACTCAAGCCAAATGGCAGCTGGTTCCTGGCAGGGGCCCCTGGCTAGCTTAGCCCTCTGAAGCCTGGGACAAGTGCCCTCACCCCTGCCCAGGCCTGCAGACTGAGGAAGGAAATGCACATTGGTTGCTGGGGACAAAAGTTATGGTTGATGGATTACGGAAACAGCAGGAGGAATGGCGCATGACAGATTGCTATTGTTGCTTGGGGATTACAGCAAAGAGAGTCTTTTCTGCATAGTTGTGTGAGTAGGGTTGCCATAGTTAAAAAAGTGAAAATCCAGACATTTCGCTGATTTCCACCCAGACACTGCTTGCAGCTGCAGTATTCCGGATACATCCAGGAAATTCCAGATGTTTGGCAACCTTATGTGTGGGGGGACTTTAAAGCAGTGGTGCAGGAACAGGGAGGGAGCTTCACTCGGTCACTCTTCTGCTCATAGCAGGAGTGATAACATCATCTGCTAGTGCAGTATTTGCCAATGCTGTAAGCTTAAGGGTGTGCATTGCTGCATGTTGCCCATTGGGTAGGCTGCAAGCCAGGGAGGCCAACAGTAGGTGGCGCTAGAGCCAATGGCAGGTGCAATCACAACTGATGCTAGTTTTCTCCCCAGCCTCCTCCCTGTCGAGCTCTATAAAGGCAACCCTGAGGCCACATTCCCACTATCCATTTGAAGCACAATGATAACACTTTATAAGTTATGGCTTCCTCCAAAGAGCTCAAATTCCCAGAGTTCCGTGGGAAGAAGGATTGATTGTTAAGCACTCTGGTATCATAGTTCTTTAGTGGATGGTGGGAATGTGGCCCTAGCTAGAACATATTGATAGGATCCTAGAATTTGCAAAATAAATCAGGGTGTGTAAAGAGAAGTTATCACCGTATTTTTCGCTCTATAAGACGCACCAGACCATAAGACGCACCTAGTTTTTGGAGGAGGAAAACAAGAAAAAATAATATTCTGAATCTCAGAAGCCAGAACAGCAAGAGGGATCGCTGCACAGCGATCCCTCTTGCTGTTCTGGCTTCTGGGATAGCTGTGCAGCCTGTATTCGCTCCATAAGACGCACATGCATTTCCCCTTACTTTTTGGGAGGGAAAAATTGAGTCTTATAGAGCAAAAAAATACGGTATATTAATATGAAAAACATGGAATAAGCCTCCTGGTGTCTTTTAGACTTTGATTGATGGCTAAAGTTATGATTTAACTGGAACACTTTCGTTTGACCTTTGTCTGTTTTTAAATTCTTTGCACTGGTTGTCCCTCATATCTTACTGACGGACATATCCTTGAGGCTGACATGGTTTTAATACCGTGTTTCTGCACCTCACAGAAATATCCAGTGCCAGCCCTATTTATGTAATGTGAACAAGAGATTAATAATTTTCAGGATAGCAGCCCGACAGATTTGGAACAGAGAAATAAATGTTCATTTTTAAGGCCACAGGAGAGTGAAATTTATATTTTTGTCGCTTTTGCCATAGGGGCCATACCCATTGCCTTTCAGCCTGATCCGGGGCGTATGACAAAGAAACATTCCTTACACAGCAGTGGCCCATCTTGTATATCAGGTCAGTTTCCTCGTGTAGCCCCTGTTAAACCACTTTTATAACTCTGTGAGGGGACATGGGGACCTTGTGGGAGGGAAGCCATGACTGTTTGAAGTGGTATGATTTAAAGGCATAGTTCAGATGGGGCCTTGGTTTTTGCTGGACTTTTATGTTGATTCAAGGAAAAAATAGGTATAAAAAGAGAATGCCTGGATATCAAGATCCATGTTTGCCGCAAGTACTCTTTGGTGAGCAAAATCTCTCCCAGCAGAGATTTAAAGTCGCAAAATATGCAGCAAAGTAAAGCATGAAAATATGGGCTGTTCAACCTTTAAAATATGCCCTTTAAAGCGAGATCCAAAATGTCCCCTTAAAAGTTTATTTTCAGAGTTTCCCTCTTCCTGCAGCATAGGAAAAAGTCACATGCTTGGTGACTTCAAAAAATCGTTTACTTACAAACTCTTCAAAGGTCAGATTAATGAGTTGTGGGGGGGATGCACAGGCAGTAAAACTTGGCTTAGTTGCAAAAGTGGTGAAAGTTCCTAAATTATTGGTATAGGGACTCAAGAGTGGCTGGTTAGAGCCATGCGGCTGAGCTGGACCAGCTCAACCTCCTCACATGCAGAGCTTCTCAGGTAGAGTGGCCGTGGGGGACAGGTGGGAGACAATAGGCTTTATTGCCTGTTTCTTCCCAAGGTGAGGGAAGTGGACATTATCTAAGCTTGGCAGGACAGCTTACTCTATGGTATTAACCCCTTCGTGCATTAATTAGACTTGAGCATACAGTGGTACCCCGCAAGACGAATGCCTCGCAAGACGGAAAACCCGCAAGACGAAAGGGTTTTCTGTTTTGGAGGCGCTTCGCAAGACGAATTTCCCTATGGGCTTGCATCGCAAGACGAAAGCCCATAGGGAAATGCTGGCGGTTGGGAGCAAAGACTTTCGCCCACAGCCGGCCTTCAGAAGAGGACCTCTTCTGAAGGCCGGCGGGGGGCAAAAGTCTTTGCTCCCGCCCGCCTGCCTTCCCCCCGCCTGCCCGGGGCGATCTTAAAATGCTGGCGGGCGGGAGCGAAGCGCTGCCGACCCCCAGCATTTTAAAATCTCCCCGTGTCCCGGGGAGGTTTTAAAATGCTGGGGGTCGGGAGCGAAGCGCTGCCGACCCCCTGCATTTTAAAATCTCCCCGTGTCCCGGGAAGGTTTTAAAATGCTGGGGGTCGGCAGCCCGACCCCCAGCATTTTAAAATCTTCCCGGGACACGGGGAGATTTTAAAATGCTGGGGGTCGGCAGCGCTTCGCTCCCGACCCCCAGCATTTTAAAACGCTGTTCCGAGGGGGGGGTGGGGACACCTGCCCCAGCCGCCCCACTTCGGAAAGCTGTTCCGAAGTGGGGAGGGGGGGCGGGGACACCTGCCCCAGCCGCCCCACTTCGGAAAGCTGTTCCGAAGCGGGGAGGGGGGGCGGGGACATCTGCCCCAGCCGCCCCACTTCGGAAAGCTGTTCCGAAGCGGGGAGGGGGGGCGGGGACACCTGCCCCAGCCGCCCCACTTCGGAAAGCTGTTCCGAAGCGGGGAGGGGGGGCGGGGACACCTGCCCCAGCCGCCCCACTTCGGAAAGCTGTTCCGAAGCGGGGAGGGGGGGCGGGGACATCTGCCCCAGCCGCCCCACTTCGGAAAGCTGTTCCAAAGCGGGGAGGGGGGCGGGGACATCTGCCCCAGCCCCCCACTTCGGAAAGCTGTTCCGAAGTTGGGAGGGGGGGCGGGGACACCTGCCCCAGCCGCCCCACTTCGGAAAGCTGTTCCGAAGCGGGGAGGGGGGGCGGGGACATCTGCCCCAGCCGCCCCACTTCGGAAAGCTGTTCCGAAGTGGGGAGGGGGGGCGGGGACATCTGCCCCAGCCGCCCCACTTCGGAAAGCTGTTCCGAAGCGGGGAGGGGGGGCGGGGACACCTGCCCCAGCCGCCCCACTTCGGAAAGCTGTTCCGAAGCGGGGAGGGGGGGCGGGGACACCTGCCCCAGCCGCCCCACTTCGGAAAGCTGTTCCGAAGCGGGGAGGGGGGGCGGGGACACCTGCCCCAGCCGCCCCACTTCGGAAAGCTGTTCCGAAGCGGGGAGGGGGGGCGGGGACACCTGCCCCAGCCGCCCCACTTCGGAAAGCTGTTCCGAAGCGGGGAGGGGGGGCGGGGACACCTGCCCCAGCCGCCCCACTTCGGAAAGCTGTTCCGAAGTGGGGAGGGGGGGCGGGGACACCTGCCCCAGCCGCCCCACTTCGGAAAGCTGTTCCGAAGCGGGGCGGGGGGCGGGAACACCTTCTGAAGGCGGGCAGGGGGCGAAAGTCTTTGTCCCCCCTGCCTGCCTTCCCAGGGGCTTTTAAATCGCCCCGGACAGCGGAGAAGTCCTCCGCTGTCCGGGGCGATTTTAAAATGACGCCCGCCAGCATTTTAAGATCGCCCCGGACAGCGGAGAAGTCCTCCGCTGTCCCAGGGTTTTTTAAAATGCTGGGGGTGGGAAGAAAAGCCCTTGTCCCCCCCCCCAGCCTTCAGAAGAGGTCCGGGGACAGACTGTCCCCAGACCTGGTCTGAAGGCGGTTTCCCTAGGAACGCATTAATTGATTTTCAATGCATTCCTATGGGAAACCGTGCATCGCAAGACGAAAAAACCGCAAGACGAAGAGACTTGCGGAACGAATTAATTTTGTCTTGCGAGGCACCACTGTATTGGTTATATGAGGCTGCTTATCCCACACTTGGGTGTCCTGATACAAAGATGGAGCCTCTGAAGTCAGTCCCAAGTCTAGGCAGGTATGTTTAGGTGCATAAGCACCTTAACTTGCTTCTTTAAAAAACAACAACCAGCCAAGGACATGGGCTGTAGATTTCATGACACTTTGCTCAGTCAGTCCCCTCTCCTTGTCGTCTTCCACAGGTGTACAATGAGGGTAGCAGTGGGAATCAACCCTGATGTGGAGAGACATAAACCATGGAAGGACCAACACCCGAACCGGTCTTTGTCGACGTGGACAAAGGACTAACGCTAGCATGCTTTGTCTTCCTTTGCCTCTTCCTGATCGTCATGATTATCCGCTGCGCGAAAGTCATCATGGACCCTTACAGCGCCATCCCGACGTCTACATGGGAGGAACAGCACCTGGATGACTGACAGGGGAGAGAGGGGAGGAGGCGGGCAGCAATCATGAAGCCACATGGACCAACCAAAAGCTTGCGCGAGAGAGCACAACACGGACAACTGCCTTGCCTGGAGGAGGGCACAAAATATTATACAGCTTTTCTGAGATGCACAGGGCAATGTCGGTCCCTTTGAGAGCACACTGGTGATAGCTTCCTGCCTATCAGCCTCGATACATCGCCGTGTCCTTTCTCCTTCCGAAGGAGTGACCTCCAGGTTTTAATGAGGAAATGATTATGATTGTATATCAAGTAGCACAAAAGCTCTCTAGGCACTAGAAAATCCCTTCCAAGCTTTTTTCTAGTATAATCTCTATTAAGCACCTTCTCTCTGTTTTAAATCGTTATTTGTAATTGAAATGGGCAAATACATGCTATAAATACAGGCAGATGCTATGCAGAGATGCCAGGGCGGTATGAGGGTCAAAGACGAGGGGGGATGGCATTTTAAAACGAGGGCACTCTTTACAAGATTGGCAATAATAATAAAGAAACCTTAAGGGTTGTTGTTTTTCTCTGCGTTGGAACTGGAGTGGGTTGCAAGGTTGATTAAAAACCAGTGTCGTAGCAGATGTGCAGAATACGGACATCTGCTCCTTGACTTTCAAAGCACAGGGCTTCTCCCAAAGAACCTGGGAACTGTAGTTTGTTAAGGGCACTGGGAATAGTAGCTGTGTGGGGAGTAAACTGCAGTTTCCAGGGAAGCCATCTGTTTAAATGCCTGGTTTGGATCTCTGATAGCATTTAGGTGAGCTCTCCTTGGAGGCTATGCCATGAAGTCTCTTTGGAGCCTCTGTTAATAGTGGGTGACCTCTGAGGAAGAGTCTGCTTCTTGTCTGCTACTTCTAATAGTGAACTGAGTGGATCCATGCAAATGGATCTGGCGTCGATGCAGGACTTTTATGAAACCAGAGGGAAGTATCAGCATCTTCAGATGAACCCCGAGGTATAGGGAAGCATCTCTAGATATCCACACAAACCAAAAGGGGGGCAAGCCCATGGCAGGCCCAGCACCAATGGTCAGAGGATTGTGCCCCATGCTAGTCCTACTCAGAGTAGACCCATTCAAATTAATGAACCTAAGAAAGCCATGTTCATTAATCTAAGTGGGTCACCTCTGAGTGGCTACAACCCAAAGACTCACTGCATTTCCCCTCCACTTCCCCTGGGTCCTAGCAATAAATAAGTCCGTCCTTCATATATATCCTGCTTTTCATAGAGATGGGCATTGGTTACTGATAAAATATAGACCACCAAACATGCGCTGATCTTAAAATGAATGACTCCCCTCTTGTTGCCAGTTTCACAGGAGGTATTTTTAGCCGAGTCTAGACCAGTGTTTCCCAAACGTTTTTGGGCAACGGCACACCTGTTTACTGAAAAAAAATCTCGCGGCACACCACCATTAAAGCCCCGCCCCGTGACGTCAGCGCGCAGCGTCACGCCGGGAGGGACGCACAAAAGTGAAAGTTTTCTCCCGCCGCGCAGGAGCGATGCCTCTCTCTGGCTCTCCCTCCGCGCAGGCTGAGGGAGGGAGGGAGGGGCGCGTGTGACCCGTCTCTGCTGGGAGACCTAACCCAGCGAGGCAGAGTCGCGCGGAGGCGCCCAGGCAGCGCTGCCGGCTGCGAGGAGGAGCGCCAGGCAGCAGCAGGAGGCGCGGCCTCTCCTCGCCGCCGCCGCCCCGCCTCTCGCCGCCCGACTCGCCCGCCTCCCTCCAGGCATCTCGCGGCACACGAGGCAACGTCTCACGGCACACTCGTGTGCCGCGGAACACCGGTTGGGAAACACTGGTCTAGACAGTCATCTGTCAGGGATGCTGCAGCTGCCAGAATCATACCTTGAACAAGGAGTTGAACTAGACTGGGGTGGTGAGCAGGCTTCAGGCCTCCAGGACCTGTATTATTATTATTATTATTATTATTATTATTATTATTATTATTATTATTATTATTTATCATCATCATCTTCTCAAGATCTACCAACTGGAGCCAGATGCAAATGATGCACAATTAGAATGCAAGGTTCCTTTGAGCACATTTGGAGCCAATGAATGTGTTTTTCTGTACCAGAACTGAACTGGGAGTGCCCTCACACAAAAGTCCTCTCCTGGTTTCCTATCTTCATTTCGGCAGCCTAAGAACAAGGCTCCATCTGCACTACTTTTAAAGAAGTATATTACTTTAAGCAGACATGGCTTCCCCCAATGAATCCTGGGAAGTGTAGTTTGTTAAGGATGCTGAGAGGCCTTAAGTGACCCCCCCTTTCCCCCTCCCCCTGAGACCTACAATTCCCAGAGTTCCCTGTAAATAAGGATTTATGGTTAAACCACTCCGTTGCCCTGTGAAGGAAACAGGGGTCTCCTAACAACACTCAACATCCCTTATCAAACTCCACTGTTTAAAGTGCTATGATACTGCTTTCAGTGTGTTGTGCGGATGGGGCCCAATTCATTTTGTCATTGCTATTCTTGAACATTTGGGAGTCGGAAGCCCTTGCAAAGCTTCCCCATCTGCCTTCTGCCTACCTCTGGACAAGATGACCTTCACCAAACTTGCCACATCTGGATGAAGAGCAGGGAGGGGGCCTCATGTCACATGACAACTATGAAAGCCAGCCTCTGGGGGGGGGGCAGTGGGCACCTTTGCAGTGTTGTTGAGAAAGAACCGTGGGTGCCAGTAACAAAATGGCTGCCGTGGCAGAGTGTGACAAATTGCAAAATGGCTGCCACATCTAAATGAGCATTAAAAGATAGTAAAGGTAAAGGTACCCCTGCCTGTACGGGCCAGTCTTGACAGACTCTAGGGTTGTGCACCCATCTCACTCAAGAGGCCGGGGGCCAGCGCTGTCCGGAGACACTTCCGGGTCACGTGGCCAGCGTGACATCGCTGCTCTGGCGAGCCAGAGCCGCACACGGAAACGCCGTTTACCTTCCCGCTTGTAAGCGGTCCCTATTTATCTACTTGCACCCGGGGGTGCTTTCGAACTGCTGGGTTGGCAGGCGCTGGGACTGAGCAACGGGAGCGCACCCCGCCGCGGGGATTCGAACCGCCGACCTGATGATCGGCAAGTCCTAGGCGCTGAGGCTTTTACCCACAGCGCCACCCGCATTAAAAGATACGGGACCACTAATTGGTGTGGACACAGCCTTGCCACCAACGAGAATTCTCACAGAGAAAAACTCATTGCACCTCTGTGGGCATGTTTAAGGGGGCATGTTCAGTGCAGGAGGTGCATACACACCTACGTTCCTTCCAACTACATACCGTGGTACTTTGGTTCTCAGATTTAGTCCATTCCAGAAGTCTGTTCCAAAACCAAGGCGTGCTTTCCCATAGAAAGTAATGCAAAACAGATTAATCCGTTCCAGACCTTAAAAAAACAAGCCCTTAAACAGCAATTTAACATGAATTTGAAACCATTGATCCATAAAATGAAAGCAGTAATCAATGTACTGCACTATAAAATAAATAAGACAGTATTGTAGATGATAAAAATTAAAATTAATTTCTTTTCTTACCTGTACTGATTATAGTCATTATTTGGATAGGAGGCTTTTATCCATTTCTGCAGTCACTCACTCAATCAATCAATCAATCAATCAATAGCTGAACTGGGTTCCACACAGTCACAAAAACAAATTAACCGAAAAACCCTCAAAAACCAAAACGCAAATTAAATATCAAAAACAAAAGCACCAAACTTAATCCGTTCTGGAAGTCCGTTTGGCTTTCAGAACGTTCAAATACCAAGGTGCAGTTTCTGATTGGTGCAGGTGCTGCAGAAACAATAGCTAACACCTGCACTGGACATTCAGCTTCTGAAAAACATTCAAAAACTGGAATACTTACTTCCAGGTTTCTGGCGTTTGAGTACCAAGGTACCACTGTAATTCTAAGAAGTAAAGTTGAGAAGAGAGGGAACCCTGCACCCTCTAGATCAGGGTTTCCCAAACTTGGGTCTCCAAGCTGTTTGGGGACTACAGTTCCCATTGTCCCTGCTAGCTAGGGGTGATGGGAGTTGTAGTCGGAAAAAAAACTTGGGAAACTCAGCTCTAGATATTACTGGACTTTAACTCCCATCATTCCCACCCCTTGAGAACAACCAATGGTCAGAGATGATGGGAACTGTAGTCCAGCAACATTTGGAGGGCCACAGGTTAGGTACTCTTTGTTATGTAGGCTAGATGTCATTTTCTACCAGGAGAAGCCCAGAGAGAGTAGGGGAATTAAGTAATCCTATTCCACCTAAGACTTGAATTAGGCCAACTCAGGCTTATCCAGAATTGCAGCCTACTAAATGAGGGTTCCTACCCTAGCTGGTAGGCGTTGCCAATTTTTTTCCTGGTAGGACTCCTCCGCCTTTAACTGCAGCCTGACAGAAATTTAGCAGGTGGATTTTTTTCTCCATCAGTTCCATCTCCAGGCTCAGTTTTGCTTGCTAATTTTTTTGCCTGTAAGGCTGCTGTTAAATGCAGACTAAAGCTGGCAACCTTCTTCAGCAGCTGAAGAAGAAAACAGTGGCTGCTGATGAGGGTTGCCAAATTTTTTCTGGCGGTGGGCTCCTTTGCCTTTAACAGCTGTCTGACAGGTTTTTCTCTCACAGGGGGCAAAACACAAAGGAGACCAGGAGGAAAGGAGGAAAGCAAATTTTGGACCTTCGAAATACCTCATCTGCTGATGTTTCTGGTTGTGCTCCTGCATAAGATGCCTTGTTCAACGCACAGACAAGTCCCAAAGACAGCCCTCTCGTCGGTGCAAATTTCCCTTGAAGAATATATATATATTCTTCCATTGATATATCTATCAATGGAAGTTTCACATCCAGAAAGGGCTGCAGCTTTGGGCGACAAGGTAGTGATTCTGAACTGCATGAGACAAAGTGCCTCTGCTAATTTTATTTTAAAATTAGAAATGATTAAAATTAAATTAAATTAAATTAAAAATTAAAATTAAAAATGAATTTTAAGTCTTAAACAATTCTTCCATACTGGGGACAGTTGCACTCAGAGAAAGAACACCTAGCAGAAACCTTGTAGTGAATGTATTATCTAATAAATGGCTTCCAACAACAAAAATGCTTTGTCATCCATTTATCAGAATTCTTAAAAAAAAGAAGCCTCAGCTCATACACACCTTTCTTTCTTCATTGCATATCAATGGATCTTCCCCTATACACACAGTGAACATGGTGCAATGTGGTGGGGAAAGGATTAGGCTAGGACTATGAAAGGTAAAGGTAAAGGTACCCCTGCCGTACGGGCCAGTCTTGACAGACGCTGGGGTTGTGCGCCCATCTCACTCAAGAGGCCGGGGGCCAGCGCTGTCCGGAGACACTTCCGGGTCACGTGGCCAGCGTGACAAAGCTGCATCTGGCGAGCCAGCGCAGCACACGGAACGCCGTTTACCTTCCCGCTGGTAAGCGGTCCCTATTTATCTACTTGCACCCGAGGGTGCTTTCGAACTGCTAGGTTGGCAGGCGCTGGGACCGAGCAGCGGGAGTGCACCC